GTTCCGCTTCGCATACTTCTGTCACGCACTCCCCGTAAATAAACATCCGCGAAATTCGCCCGCACTGAAATAACAGTTTAGCGTGTTGGATAATAAATAACTTATTTATTGGACGTTTTGTTGTGTAGTATCGCAGAGTATTCTTACTCGTTATTTGTATTTTGACTCGCCCTACGGGCTCGTCAAAATACGGCACAACTCGTAAAAATACTCAGCGATACTACATCAAAAAAAAAAATTCACTAATTAAGGAGTTAATAACCTTGTATTGTTCTGCCTCCTGAGTGGCGGATTCCAACTGTCCTTTCAATTGTGACTCAATCACCTCTTGTTCCACAACCTACAAATAAAAGTTTTCCGTCAGTGAACGTATTTTTAGTGGGCGAAAGTTACCTATGCTGTCCCCTCTGGGACATATTACGATACGTTGCGTCACGCAAGGCTGCGTCACGTCACTGCATGCTATTCTAAAATAAGTAACGCTACAAAAAGTCGCGCTTATGTCTAGAGGTAGGAGTTAACACACATTAAAATATCACGTTTTCTTTTTTTAAAACACCAGCAGATTTTAAGCGGTAATTTAAAGACTCTCGCCTACATGTGTACTTATGCTTCAAATAGCCTTATCAGAGCATTATACCATACCCTGCATTTGTGTTGAAAGATTTTTCGAGGGGTGGGGGTGAGGAGAGGAGGGCCTCTTAGGGTCAGGGGGTTCCGAAGCAATTTGAAGCTAAGAAGGGGAGCCTCATTAGAGAGAAGACGTTTGATAGAGCGTTCAAGAAAAAGTAGGAACCCAGGAAAAAAAAAAATGAGGAGAGCCTCCGGAAGATCTTGGTTTTGTTCTCGCACCTGCTTTTTGGCCTCAGCGAGTTCTTTCTTAGTTTTCACCAGCATGGCTTTCATTTTCAGTGCTCTCTCTTCGGCTTGTTGCCGTTGACTGTCGACCATTTCTGCAACCGACACAAAATTCATTAATATAAAGTGGTGAAGAATCCTTCGCAACGACTGAACATTAAGGCGGCGAGTGCAAGAGGGGAGATGAAGTCAATTCGACCCATGCAAAAAAATCAAGGTGTCTTGGATTGAAGTGTTCCAGCCAGATGCTCAGCTGGTGTTAAACGGAAGATTTTGGAAGGATCAGGTGGTTTTCAGGGAGAATGGAAGGGGAATCAGTCGTCAACAACAGTGTATAAAGGAGGGGGGAGAAAATAGAAAATAAAGGGGAGATCAAGAATATTACATATATCTTATTAACCAAGCGCGAAGGTCGTACTAGGAGAATATAGGCACGAGGTCTTGACGGTACGGACCGAGCGCAGCGAGGTCCGTACAAAAAAGACCGAGGGCCGATATTCTTCCAGTACGGTCCCGAGCAAGCTTGGTTAATAAGAGATTTATTATACGACTGAAGTTCAAAGGGACACAAGTGCGGTATCATTCGGGACAGTGCCCGGTCCAATACTGAGAGAATATTGACCGGCAATAGAGCATTTTGATTGGTTCATTTTAGTTATTGGCCCTCTGACTGCCCGAGTCGAGTAATAAAGAGCCTTATGGAAGGGTTAGGTAAATCTTATTGAGACACAACTGAAGTCCCCCCCCCTCCACCTTCCGCGATAAATAACAACCAGTCCCTACATCAGATCTTTTCTTTCAATCACCTATCTGAGTTTTGAAGTCATCCGCTTTTTTATCCACTCGAGAAACTTCCTCCAGTGAATCTTGTAGAGCCTTTTCCTTCTCCGAGAGTTTGTTCTGCAGCGCCTCCAGGGATTTCTGATAATCCTCCATCTCTAAGCTCATCAAACTGCTCTGGTTGGCTTCCTGTATTTTTTTTTTAAGGAATAAACGAGGGAAAGCTGACTCTACAGCTTGGTAATCCACGGGAGACGAAACCGTTGGATAAATTTTTTCAAAATATAATCATACACACATGAAACTTGTCATAAACATATGAAACAAGTAAGAGCACCATCTCTGTAGTTCTCTAGTTGATCATTTAGTCCTTTCATTCCCGAGATCTCATTAGCAATTCTCCTTACTGTCTGCCATACAATTCTTATGATATTAGTTTGGAGAATTTGGTATTGGATCAACTAATTATCCCCTAATTGATATTTTTCTTTATTCTTGAGCTGAAAATTTGCAAATTTTCTTATTCGAATAAATTCGTTTGTTTTGCACGTGATTTAGAAGCACAAAGAAGTTAAGGGCTATTCTGTAATTTTCAGGACAAAATTGTGCCTTATCCTTATTCCTCGAAATTTTAGTGATATCTCAGAGACATGTAACCAGCTAATATCACTCAATTTCCAACCTTTTCTGCAGCTTCTAATTGTCGTTTAGTTGTTTCCAGTTGATTTTTTGTCTCCTCGTGTCGTCTCCGTTCTTCCGTCAAACCCTCGTCAGTGTTCTCCAGTTTATTTAACAGCTGCAAACAAACAAACAAACAAACAAGCATTAACAAATGGTAAACACCACAGCGTACACTACTGAGTTATGGATGCACGCGGGAGGTTGCTAAGCACGAAAGAAGCGTAAGAGTCGCGCGAGGCGATAGCCGAGAGCGACTCTAGCTTCTTGAGTGCTTAGCAAACCTCCCAAGTGCATCCATAACTCAATAGTGTACGCTGTGGTGTTTACCATTTGTTTTATAACATAACATTGATACATTGTAGCTAAAGAGTTCCCTTTTATTTAACAAATCTTACGCGACCAGAAAAAACAAGCGCGCGCGGAAAAATAGTCTTTGCATTTGCTCACGTCAGCAGCGTACACCCATGGGCAAATGGGGGACGCTAAATTGACCAATCAGAGCGCGCGCTTTACTTTGGTTATGTTATACTAATTGGAACAGAACAAAACAATACACACCTAATTCATACGCATTGCGTACCTATTTCGATTACCGTGACAATCGTAACCGTTTCAAAATTAAACAAACCTCTGAGTGCTCTTTGTTGACTTGTTCCAGCTCTTTGGAGGTACTATTAAACTTCTTTTCGAGATCAGAAATGTCTTGCATACTTTTGATGCTTTCTGTTTTT